AATACATGAAATGCATTAAGCCTTTATTAGTTGCTATGTTTTCTTCTGTGTTGTACCTACTTTGATTTGTTGTACTCGAACCGAGGGTCTTCCCGAAACAGCCTCTCTAACCTCATTGAGGTAGGGGTAAGGTCTGTGTACACTTCACTAGGTATGTTGTTGTATACACTAATATAAGTAATCTCTGTGACCATATACAATGCACTAGTAAAATATGTACTTGTAATTGTTCATGCTGCAAGGACATAAGAGAGAAAAACAACAAGATTATATTGTGTTCCGTAAGAAAACAAAAGCAACAAGACGAGAGGTTAACAATGGCAAATTCCTGTTTGATGATACAATAGTTGATATAATATACGACTGCTGTTCTAATTTATGTGTTTACAGCTTATTGCTCATAGGAGTTGAGAGAATATGGATGGATACCTACATGATATAGCTGTTTAACATATAAGGTCATCAACGTTTAAGAAACAAAAATGTCAGACGCCAAATTGGTTTTAGATTTTTCACGCTCATTAGGGGACTAACATCAGTTCTCAATTACTGGAAATAGTTAGTGAAAGTTAAACAGTAATATAGCATTGTCAAAGATGAGGAGAAACTGAGTACTATTCAGTGCCTGGGAGTTAGGTTATTCTTACAACTTATGTCATCATAAAACGTCTCTTGATATGTTTAATGAAATACATAAGCACCTTTAGATGGTAGAGTCATGGAGATCATTTATATTGGACATACTCTAATAGCCCCCGTATGGTCATGAGTATAATAATTCAGCTACATATATCACCTTGCAGTAATTCACCATTCATTTCTCTGGCTAAATGTAACAGAATTCTTGTGTGAACCCTTGGATATATTTTCGTTTATCATGTAACTTAGGTTTGATTTAAGATTGAATTAGTTCTTCATTGGTCTTGAAGTTGACATATGATAAACTTGAATAGCACAGATGTAGACTTTGTGATGTTAGTACTATCTGTATTTTTGTTTTCCTCACATAATGTTTGTATGTTCATCAACAATTTGGATAAGATATTTGTGCTACTGTCTTTGTAGAGGTCACTGAAAGTTGTCTTGTTGTCAAAGAGGAGCAACTCAAATTTGATTCTAACACATGAACTGGAGTCATAACATGTCCCTCAAAAAAGCCTTTGACCCACAATGCTTTATGATATGCCAAACTAGAAAAGACACATTGGTTGTCTTAGCAAATCATCATGATTTTGAAATTATCCTCCCCACATGATAGCCCTCTAGAATTCATCATTTAAAATGTTGTGTGTTATCTAGATATTTATGTGCATTGGATCTTTTTGATATTAGGTTACCGAAAAATGCGTATAGTCAATCTCAACTAATTTGGAAACGAGTTATAGTTGATTGATTTACTTATGGTCAAGGATTTTTTCTCTTCTTTGCCTCAATACTTTGAAATGGATGGTGCTCTATTTTATTTGGTTGTATAGTTTAGGCATGACTTGTACGTAACTAGATTTTTTATGTATGTTCGAGTCATATTATATGTCTATCAACTTAAAACAATAATATCAAATTCAGTGTAATTTGACAACTTCACTAGTATATTAGTATATGAATATCAACTAGTTCATTAATGACATACTATAGTTTAACTAGGATGATTCTATCTATCAAAATATAGACTGTGAAATAAAAATAAAAATGAAAATAGATATGTAACGCTTTTTACCGTTGGAACTCTTGTCTTGCTAGATCCTTTCAATTTTTGTCGATTGGAGTTAGAATTTTTCATGGGCTCAAAATATTATTTAAAAAAAAAGAAGAAAGTAAAGCACACGAAATAATAGAAAGGGTTTCAATAAGGTGGTAAAATTGAGCCCAATTATAGGAAATCCGCACCACTCGTTCATAATTCTAGGGTTGAGTTTGGGATAATTTGAATTGGGTTTAAATTCGATACGTTCGAGTTCTAATTCGGATAAATTTTAGAAATCAAATAGTTTTAATACGAAATTACAATCTATTCCTCTTTAGTTTGTAATTACATTAATTCCTTAAAAAAGTAACACAAATCGAATACATTAATATATAGCTCGAATACATTAAAGAATATTCCAAATACATTATAACATAAATCAAATACATAATATGTAGTCCGAATACATATATATAGCTCAGATACATTGAAAATTAGCTCGGATACATAATATTTAACTCATATACGTAAATACTACTCGAATACATTAAAGAAATAATAGATTTTAGAGGTTTTTAGAAATAGAAGGGATATTGGAAATAAGGGGATATAAAACGTGTATTTTAGAAATTTTTTCATTTTAAGAGAATCTTTGATTGAGATCAATTTAATCTCCAATTTTAATGTGTTTTAAGACTCTTAATTTGCATTATATAATGCATGTTCCTATATTAAAGATATGAATTACCGGAGCGGCTCAAACGTATTAATGGCCTAAAACAAAAATTAAACGGGGCCTTAAACTTAAATTGGTAATAACTTTTATTTAATTTATTTCTTCTAGTTTTTATCTTATAATATAACCATTCTTATTTTAAATTATTTTAAATTAGATATAGTACTCCAACTATGTCAAATTTTTTCTATTAATTCCTTCATTTTTCATGAAATATTTACTTTTTCTACAAATAGTATTCAATATTTATTAAAAAATAATAACTTATAACCTATTATTATAAAAAATGAGGCCCCTTAAATTTGGGGGCCTAACCCTGTGAATTACTATCTACTTTATATGTTTAAGGATTTATCTATTCAAGTGTTACTTCTTTATATGTTTTTTTTAAACACTATCGAGTCACCCCTGTGAATTACTATCTACTTTATATGTTTAAGGATTTATCTATTCAAGTCTTACTTCTTTTGTTTAATTTTATTTAGCTGAAATTCAAATTGTGCTTATAAAACTTAAACAACAAAATTATCGAGATTAAGCGGGTAAAATTGGACGGTCAAGACCCAACGTGTTAAGCCCATTGAAGTCCAAAGTAAACTTGGACGGATTATGAACCAACCTAATTTCTATTTCAATCCATTTTAATATTTTCAATTTCAACCATCTATATGACACCCCTAATTTCGATATTTATTGTATATACATAAAAAAAGATAATTTTAATTATGTATATGTATAAATAGTTCAGCAGTCTCTACTCTCTAGCCCCAAGCTGCTTTCGCTCCGGTATTGGACGCATTAAAACCCTAGATATGTAAATTCAAGATGTGAAAAATATATGGGATTCATATTTTTCGTAAAACAACATATGTTTCATATAACAATAGGGTAAAATAAATTTAGTAATATAAAAATTCTTTATTATTACTGTGTTTATAAGCCTATTAAACTCAAAGGGAAGATCAAATATCTCTATCAATTTCTGCTCTCTCTGAACCACATCTACCATAAGTGGTTGCTATTATTTTGAAGTCATTGAACTTTAATTAGGTTCATATTTTATTTTCTTCTGATTGTGAAACTACAATTTTTTTGGTGAAGTTATATTCATTAAAACAATGTTGGGGAGGTGATTAAAACTTATTAAATTTTGTTGGCAGTTAAGAATTAAATAGTCTATTAAAAAGTCAACAAAAAATAAACGAAAGAGAGACACTAAATTAATTTATTTTTATCCAAAAAAAAATTGCACGTTTTGATTTGAACACTCATCCGCCCTAAATGAGTTTTTGAAACCTGCTTTTTTTTTTAAAAAAAAAGTTACTATCCGATAATTTTTTTTTTATGACAAGGGAAACTGCAGTCACTATTTTTTGGATATGCACAGGGTAAAACCCCCGCTCCTATGCAATAGCTCGCAAACCACATAGGAGAGGTAATCCGCACTAGCAAGCCTTGTGCGATGAGCTCAACCCAGAAAGCAAACTTCTTGCTTTCGCTGGCAATGGATTTCGAACTTGAAACCTTCAACATAGAAGTCCCAAGCTCAAATCACTGGGCCATCCCAAAAGATATCCGATAAAATAATTAAAATGCCCACGAATTGATTTAAACATCATCAAGGACATATATACAAATAACTTTACACGTGTTGAGTAAAACTTAATAAAAATCATACTTAATAGGAATATAATTTTAAAGAAAGTTATAAACAACTAAATATGAGTTGTTAAGTATCCACCAAAAAATCGAGTGAGTAAAACGTATACATTTTAATTGTAATTTTTTCTCAAAATGGTAAAATTAAGAATCTCATCTTGTGTTTGGAATTTTTGTTTGACCCATTCAAAATTTAGCGTCCCAAGGCACAATATTTTTGATAAGATAATATCCAAGTCTTTTAAAGAGACATCAATTCATTGAGATATATGATTGAAAAATGAGATTTATGCAATTCTCAAGTGGTGTTTCCATAGTATTTTATTTGATTATATTTCTTTTTAAAATTATGAGTTGAAGCCTTGAAAACAAAAGATTTGGTCTTTGAATAAGTTTTTGAGAACTTAAAAATATTTTTAAAGTGTAATCAAATAAATAATGTAAAAAGATTGAAATATAATCCAAAATTTATGATTGTTTAATGAGAGAACTATTCATAAAATTTCTAAACTCAATGAAAATGAATTATTATTTTTATCAAAAGGCCTATTTTCTTGAGTAATTGAACTTAGATTCATCTTTAATTTTGTTATATAAATGAAATACATCTCTAGATTTTACTATTAGCTTTGTTCTATAAATGAAATATATACTTAATTTTTTATTATTTTCAATGTTTCAACACTTATTTTAAATTTTTATTAAGAATTTATTTTAATTTTGAGATCACTTGCTTATATTATAATAAAGTAAAATATGTATTTTTAAGACAGTGAATAATTAGTCGACATATTTTCGGTTCCTAATATTTCCAACCATATAATAAATTTATTCACCTAATTCTGCTACTCCATCTTAATTACCCCTTCTCTTTCCCCTTTATAGCTGAAAGAGAATTTTTTTCTTCAAAAAAAAAACTACAATCTTAAATTTAATCTGTTATACTATACTACCATGGCAGAGCAAAAGATTATAGCAGAATCCACCATGGAAGATGCCTACAAGTTCCTCAAAATTACCCCAAATCCAGATGGATCTCTCACCAGAAACACCCCAGTTCCTAATGTCCCTTCAACCCCAGAAATTGACCCCAATTCGTCAAATCAGTTAATTTCACTTTCAAAAGACATACCTCTTAATCCGGCCTCCAATACCTTCATACGCCTTTATCGGCCTGTTTCTCCGCCGATTAACACTAAATTGCCGCTCATAATATACTTCCATGGTGGTGGATTTGTGCTATTGAGTGTGAGTTCTGTTATTTTTCATGAATCGTGTAATGCCATGTCAGCTCAGATCCCAGCGTTGATTGCTTCCGTTGAGTATCGCCTCGCCCCGGAGCACCGTCTTCCTGCCGCCTATGAGGACGCCGTGGATGCTATCAAATGGGCGAAAGATCAAGCTATTAACGGGGGAGATCCATGGTTGAAACAGTTGGCTGATTTCTCTAAAGTTTTCTTAATGGGTAGTAGTTCCGGAGGAAATATCGTGTACAATGCAGGTATGAGATTGAAGTAATTTGGACGAATCAAAATAAATTAAGATCCGAATAAATAACTAGATCTAAAACTGTCACCGCAACTGTTATCACCGATCACTACTCTTATGCACTTATCTCCTTCATCATTATCATTATTACTAGCCCTAACACATCACTATAAACCATCTTCACTATAACTATTTAATCAAATAATAATAATTTTTTTTTATTTAAATTGTATTTAAAAATACATTCATTTAATCATTTAATTGTGTAAATGTTTAAATTTTGAGAAACTTTCACGTATAGCCACTTAAAAATTATCTAATTACTCTCCATAATAGTTTGATAATTACGATTCGTGACTACATGTTATATGAAGGAGAGAGGCAAGCAAGACTGAGAAGAAAGAGTGGGAGAAAGTTAAATTGTATATATATATTGGTTAGATAATTATATATTATGCATATGTATTTGTATATATAGCAAGCGAGAGCGGGAGAGGGAGGAGAGAGACGAACGAGACTGGTGAGGGAGGAGAGAGGCGAGCGAGATTGGGAGAGAGGCAAGCAAGAGAGGGGGAGAGAGGTGAAACCTATATGTATATAGGTTAAATTAATTGTATATTATACATATGTATTTGTATTTTCTGGCGAATTATACATATACAAACATGACTAAATATACAAACTCGAAGTCAGTCCATGTAACCAATGTATAATGCTAGTTGCAAGTGATAATTATAACAAACTATAGCTATGACGAGTAATTAAATAATATAAGTTTACTTTATTGCGTAATTTTTCCTTAAGTTTTAACGGAACAAAGAAGGCATGAGAATGACATTTTATGAATTAATTTTGTTACTTTTAAATACAGGTCTACGTGCATTCAATATCAATCTCGACCCGATCAAGATTGTAGGACTGATAATGAATCAGCCCTACTTCGGTGGGGTCGAGAGAACGAAGTCGGAGCTCAAATTTGTCAACGACAAGATTTTGCCTTTGCATGCGAATGATCTAATGTGGTCGCTTGCATTGCCTGAAGGCGTGGATCGCGATCACGAGTATTCTAATCCATTGATTAATGAGGTAGAAGTGAAAAAGAAGATCGAACGGTTGCCAAGGTGTTTGATCAGGGGGTATGGAGGGGATCCACTTATTGATAAGCAAAAGAAATTTGCTAAAATGATTGAGTCACGTGGGGTGCACGTGACTCCTCAATTTCTGGAAACAGGATATCATGCTGTGGAGATATTTGATAAAAAACGTGCACAAGATTTGTATGATTCTATAAAGGATTTTGTCAAATCTATTTGTGATGAAAATGTGGGCAAATCAGCCATGTGATAATCAGTTAAAATTTGAGTATATGTGTTTTTTCTCCTTTTTTCCGTAATAAGAATGTTGCTTCATATAATATTGATACGAGATGAATTTAAAAGTTATATAATCTGTCTCAAATTATTATCGGAAGTGTGTGTACTTAATGGTATTGTTATATAAGAAAGTCACTTCAGAAACAATTCACTTCCCATAATGATACATTAGAATATTTAGTAAAATGGATGCTCACATACATCTATTTTGTGGTAACATATATTTCCACATAATACATTGTGTGTAAGATATATATACATACATTATATAAGGTGTTTTAAACTATGTATTCATATAATATATTTGGTGCTTAAGCGTATACATGACAAATAAATATCCATATTCTTGATACCAAGAATATATATGTATACAATATATGAGTCCGGAGCTTAAAGGGTATAAAATATTAATAAATTTTTTTAAACAGTATATAAAATTTTATATTAACCAAAACGGCAAAATCGCTGGAACAACAACGATTTACTCCACCGTAAAAAGCAAAATCGCTGCTACTACAACAATTTTGCAAAATGTATTTTTTTTAAAAAAAAAATATTCTAATCGCTACCTAGGCAACGATTTTTAATTTTGTTTTAATTTTTTTTAAAAAAAATGAAAGCAATTTTCTAAAAAAAAAGATTTTTAAAAATCACTGCCAAGGTAGCGATTTAAATTATTTTTTTAAAAAAATCACATTTTGTAAAATTGTTGCAGTAGCAGCGATTTTGCTTTTTCCGGTAGAGTAAATCGCTGTTGTTCTAGCGATTTTACCGTTTTAATTAATATAAAAATTTATATACCATTTTAAAATTTTGTTAATATTTTATATCTTTAGGTTCCGACTCCAATATATATATACCATTCTCTTCTTGTAACAAAGTTAAAAGCAAGATAAGAGTAAGTCAAAGGAAAACATTCAATAATAGAAAAAAGTTATTACTATTACTTGTGTTTTTCTTTTTCTTCTTGTCATTTTATTATATTACACCTACTTTATTTTATAACAATGTCTAGTTAGGGTTGTATATTATATTTTTCAAAAGATGTATAGTACACACATATTTTGCACACTTATGTCTCATGTATTTGTCATGTGTAAAGAAAAACCTTAAACACTGCAATGTGTGAATTTGATTGGTTATGTAAATATTTTAAACATACAATAATCATATATATAACTATCAATACTTAGTATTATAAGTATTAAAAGATCGTCATAAAGTAATAAATATTTTTTTAAATTATAATTTTAATTTTGAGATGTTATGAAGTCATCTTTAATTAAAAGATATATAAATTTTTAAATATAAATACTAACTAATCAAACTTTTAAATAAATACTCGACACCAAATGAGAAGCTTAAAAGAGAAAAAAAGCCATGATTATAATATTTAGTTGTTAACACAAAAAAATATTTCTCAAATAGTTTAAGAGCCTATTTTTGTTCCTTTTTTTCTTCTTTAAGTTTTATAGTCACAAAACTCACTTTGAAACTAGAATATCTTGCAAAAAGTGTATATGATATCTTTTTACACAAACATGTTTTTACAAAGAAAAGGTTAATCATTGATAAATTAATTATTATTTATTTAATTAAAAAACTTAAAAATTTTCATGACAAGAATGTAATTTATTTTATACAAATAGGAAATTTGTTTTGAGTTTTTTTTGTTTAACAAAAAGACTATTTTTAGTATTCTAAGAAAATAAATAATGATAACTACTTTTCTAAATTTGATACGGAAAGAAAATACTATTCTTTTTTAATAGCATCTTTTTCCATATGTTATATAATTTTCCTACATCATTTAGGTTTCGGTAAACATCGTAGTGTTTTATACTTAAGTACTTACTTTACTATATTATAGAAGACTGTTTTTAGTTTGCAGATATTTATATAAATAATTGAAAAAGTTAATCATCTTTTTTTTTGGGAGAAATCCAATGAACAGACGGAATAGGTAACGATTTGTGGTATTTGTTAGATCGAGAAAAAAACTGTAATTAGACTTCTCTGCTAAGTTTCTGCTGTATTTGGATTCTCCGGCGAACATTAATATCTAACCATGACCGGCGGTGGAGGCGATGCCGCATCGCCGCCTCTATCCTCACAGTCAACTCCATCCAACGGTGGGGAATTCCTTCTTCAATTGCTTCAGAATCATCCGCATCAACTTCACTCTCAGCCTCAACCGCCACTGCGGCCGGAGTTGCAGAATCTGCCGCATGATCCAGCAGTTGCAGCAGTAGGTCCTAGTATGCCCTACCCGCCATTGTTCCATACTCCTACAAACCCTTCTGTTTTGCCCTATTCTCACTCTCCTCCTCTGTTTGTACCTCATAACTTCTTCATTCGAGGGTTTCTCCAAAACCCTAATTCTGGCCATACCACTAACCCCAATTACTCATCTCCGCCTGCCCCAAGTGGGTTCAGTCAATATCACCATGCGAGTCCACTTGGATTTGGATCAGTCGGAGAAAACATGGGCAATTTGGGGATTTTCGGTGCCAATGCTAAGGCGAGTAATTCAAATAATGAGTTTGATCATAATCTGATTTTTGGATCTTTACGTAGCCATATTCAAGGTAATGTGAGTATGATGAATGACCGCTTTAGTGATGATTTAGCTAGTAAAGTTGGTAACTTTGAACAGAAAAACCATGAATCAAGATTAGCGAATGTTAGGATGTTGAATGGTGTGGAGGGTAAGCTTGAGAATGTCATTGGTTCAGGTCGGAAACAGTTGGGCAATTTAAGAGGTCTTGAGCAACAGAATAGTGGTGGAGGTGGAGGTGAGAGTGAGAGTGAGAGTGGTGGTTTGGGGTGGGGAAGACAGTTTCATAGTGGGACTGTAAGAGGGGTTGTGCCACCACCAGGTTTTTCAAGCAAGCCAAGGAGCAGGGATTTTGAGCATAATGTCGATAATGAGAAGAACAATTTTGTTGAGTTGAACCATAGGGGTATTGGCTTGAATCATAAGTATGAAAGGGAAAGTAAACATCTTTCCAGGAATGGTAAGAATTATGCTATTGGTTCAGATGATCAAAGGGTTTTTCGTCGGCTGGATTCACCCGTCCCACCAGCAGGAAGTAAACTTCACTCTGTTTTGGCTTCTGATGTTGAGGATTCCACGTTGGAATTACGTGGTGAGGATGCTGAGAGTGGGGAAGAAACTGTCTCTGTGATGAGGGATGTTTTAGGTAGGAGTTCTGCTCAAGGCCAAAGCGAACTGGATGAATTGGGAGAACATGTTATCAGTTCTCTTGGACTTGAGGATGAACCAAATGAAAGAAGTGATAAAAAGAATCATCATGCCTCTCGAGATAAGGTATATACTGCCCACATATGTTCTGATTATATGGGCTTGATTTGGTGTGATGAATGTATAATATTAGTTAGCTTTAATGCGTGTCTGTGATCTTGTGTATGTTAATAAGTTCCATTACACAAATTATGATTTAAGGTTACTTTTTCAATTTTTGTTCTTTGTAAAAGAAACTTATTTGTTAAAACCTTTTCTTGGTTGTGCTACAATGTCTCAAACTATATGGTGATATCAATTCTTGTAATCATTATAAAGCTTATTTGTTTTCTTAATGCAATTTCTTTTAATTGTATTAACTAATCCTCATTTTTTGGGGTCCTAGAGATACTAATTAACATGTTATCTGGCTTTGACATCATATATTTCTGAGACTGATAAATTCTTGACTGTGAGCAACTGTATGCACCGACTAGCTGAATTTCTAACTCGTTGCATTTGAAGATGTATGTTAAATGCTATTAAAACAACCTCTTTATTTTCTTGTTTCACTACTTTGGATCAAAGTACCTCGAGAGTGAATCAAATTTGACTTGGAAATTCAGATTGATTTTGGATGACATTTTCCTTGTGACATGGATTAGTGTGTCAAACTAACTTGACTTACATTAGAGTTTTAGGATGATAGTACACCAGTTGCATGGAGCTTAAATTTGAAATGAAGCATATTTGTTTGAATTATGATTTTCTTTACTTTCTGGATAACATTGAGGTGTATATTCAGTGTATAAGAATACATGTTTTAGTGAGGACAATTCTTTTGTCTTTTGAAACTAGTAACTTTAGTATATATATCCACATGTGTACTACAACAAAAGTGTAGCTCCTTTTCAAAAGGGTTACAACTTACTGAGAAAGGCAGTCTTAATCTAAACTGCTGCCTACAAACAATCTAGCACATCAATGATGTCTTTTGTCCTAGCTAATACTCCCCCCGTTTAAAAAAGAATGACCTCCTTTCCTTTTTAGTATGTTTCAAAAAGAATGACCTCTTTCTTTTTTTGGTAGTAAATTTTCACGTGGCATGTTTAAGACCACAAGATTAAAAGACAATTTTGTACATTTGACATAACTTTAATTTAGGACCACATGATCAAAAGTCTTCTTTGTTTTCTTAAACTCCATGCCAAGTCAAACTAGGTCATTCTTTTGTGAAATGGAAGGAGTATCTCTTCTTTACACCAAAAATAAAAAAAAGCTTAGCAATTTGTTTTGATATTCTGTAAGTTGTTTAGCACATTCTCAACACTCCTATTGTTTCTCTATTTTCAAATCGTCCACCAAATGCATACTTGGACAAGTTCCATCTCTTCTACCTATCTCTATTCCAACTGCTTAGAACTCCTTTAATGCTCCCTGGTTTCACCCGTCTTATCCCCTTTAGATAGATAAACATTCTCCATAACTGTTCTGTCTATGTACAATGCAAAAAAGAAAGACGGTTAATTGTCTCTGCATGCTCTCCACATGAAGTACATCTAGAGGCCAACTGATAGCCTCTTTTGTTTAAATTTCACGAGTCAAAACTGTTTCTTTTGTCAACAACCACATGAAGCAGTTTATTTTGTAGGGTGCCTTTCGTTTCCAGATCATCTTCCATGGCCAATTTGTCTCATGTCCTGCATTCTTGTTGTGTTCCTTATAAATAGAATTTACTGAGGATTGACCTTTGGTGTCATTCTTCCAAATCAGCAA